GGGTGAATACACCTTTTCTACACTGTTGGAATTCCGAAATGTTCATTTCATGCTGTGAAAGGTAAGTACAACTGAATACATAAACTGTGTAAGCAAAAAGAAAAAGAATTAAAAAAACATATTTAGCAAAGTGATAAGACAAATGGAATTTGAGCAGTAATCATATCGTATAATAAGGACATATATTGTTATTTATTATCGTGATGAATTATTGAAAAATACATTACATCACAAGCATAACATTGGTTATTAGCTTTTTTACATTAATGGAAATTATCAATAGTTTACCTTCGGCGGGATTTGATAATATACAAATAATACAAACTCACAAGAAAACTTATCATCGCACAACGACCACAAATGAAGTTTTGATACTTAAGGCCCTTTTGAATATTCCTTTCACTGCTAGTAAAGTCAACTGCAGTCTTGTCAGGGTTCATTTTCGTATCATGTCTAGGTGTTGTCGTACTAGTGTAGGGACTACATGCCACGAATAGCACATGAGGGGTACACTAGTATCAATTGTCATACACTGCACGTACAGACTACAGTTATAATAGTTATATCAGCTGAGATATACCCACGACTGTATCTGTGTACCGTATCATGCTAACGTGATAATTTATGCATTCGTAGATCATCTATCAAAACAAAATGCACTTACCAGTCTATAATTCTTGCTACGATTCGCGTTGAAACAATCAGCAGTGTGCTGCATTAATTACGCATTGTCCTCAATAACAGGTGACGAGGCAAACACGGATTGCCGTCACATGTGAGTGACGTGAACCCCGTCATTAGCATGATTTACAATCACAAATCAGGCTGAAATAGACACAGCGCAACACGTGACTCCGGCTTCGTTTTTCTTCAGGCCGACCACGCTGGCCAATAGCGTTGCACCAAGCTTCAGCATACTTACCCTCTGAGGGGAAAAAGATGTTTTTCCAGTTACATATACCCATTTAGAACGAAAACGTTTCCGCGATGATTCTTTAAATTAGAGAACCGCCCGATACGCATGTTTCTTGATATTTTCTTGTTCGGCTTGGCAGATTGGACCTCCGCCCACTCGTAAGCTGCGCCGGTTTGACACAATGTCACGGTGACCCGGGCACAACAAGGTGAAGGCCGAGATAGCATTTAGACAAGTAGAAGGCATGACAAGTCGGAATGAGGTAATAACGGGATCTAGATCCATATATTAACATTATGTATATGGGCAGAAGGGCGGAACTCATGAATATGCATATAATCTAAAAAGGTCGATGTTTATTACGCAGTGAAATATGTAAAAATATATCACAACATGATATTGATGTTTGCAACATTTTTATTTTCCCATCAGTAATCATAATAATATGAAAACCATAACACGTGTGCCGTATATTTTATAACTGAAAGAAAATATTTGTATGATATCGTTATCGACAACAGCTAAATTGAATTCACAAGTTCATATCAAATATCGCGCTCGCTGCTTGAATTATTCATAACTTCGATTGGACATATATTTTAAATCATATAAATATGTTCACGCAAAGCAGCCTGGTTATTCTTAATTGTTCTGTATATACAAACTGCTTCTTAGTTTCTAAGTCATGTGTTATTTTTTTATATTTTTTTTTATATATTTTTTCTAAAATCTCCTTGAAGTTCATCTTGACCTATACATCAATAAACAGTTTCCACCTTTGTTATCTTATTACTTTTGTTGTTGTTACATGTACATATATATGATCTCTGCCTCGTAGCATTTATTCAGCTGATAAAGGAGTAGGTATATACTCCGAAACGTTGTGTTCCTCATAATGAAGAAGTCGACATCCATAACTTCTCTTCCTTATGTGTATCACTTCTAAATGCCTTTCAAAGACTTCAAGATCAATAAACAGGTTCGTATGACTTACTCCATATTTTACTCGACAGGAAATGGTTTTCACTAAGGAATTGATTTAATTGGTGTGTTTACAACATGAGAAATCAACCAATGTAACATGTGATTTATTTATTTTAGATTATCCCACTTTTATTAATAATTACAAACTCAGGAGCAGGTCGTCTTTCCTCTCAATATTAATCATTTAGTTTCATGTTATTCTGTAGGTAAATCACCGTGAATAAATTTCCATAAATAAGCCTGACATTTAAGGCCGTTCTAATTTAATTCTAAAACACATACACGCGCACATACGCACGCACGCACGCACGCACGCACGCACACGCACATACTATACACAACCACTCGTTCACACACACACACTCGCACGCACGCAAGCACGCGCACACATACGCACGCACGCATGCACGCACACACATAGCAATTCTCTCCACCCAGACTCCTAAGTCATCATCCCCTTGAATGAAAACAATGCTGTCTTACACTGAACGGGGCGGTCGGGTAGCCTAGTGGTTAAAGCGTTCGCTCGTCACGCCGAAGACCCAGGTTCGATTCCCGACATGGGTACAATGTGTGAAGCCCATTTCTGGTGTCCCCCGCCGTGATATTGCTGGAATATTGCTAAAAGCGGCGTAAAACCAAACTCACTCACTCACTGAACCCATTTCAGTTACCATAGGAAATTGTACCTATGATGATGGGATCGCACCAAGCCAAATCTATACATTTAGTAATCGGTTTAATAGTAGAAAAGACAGCGTGTTAAGAAAGGTTAGTGTTTTCTGTTCAGTTAGAATGAATACCCGTAAGTCTTCAGTTCAATTCTACGTCATGTTCTATTAATTGATTCAATCATGTACTTCATATACGAGGCCTGAAACTCAAAAAACAGTTATGTTCTTGACTACATTAATCCCCTCCACCTAATCCCCACAAAACACCAACCCATTCAGACCACATTAATCCCCTCCATCCAATTCCAAAACATCACCCCTTTCGGACCACATTTATCATCATCTGCCAGTCCCAAAACATCACCCCCATTCGGACCACATTATTCACCTCCTGCCAGTCCCAAAACATCACCCCCTTCGGACCACATTAATCATCTCCATCCAGTCCCCAAACATCACCTCCTTCGAAATTGCGTGGATCGATGCTGATGATAGCAATCACTGGATTGTCTGTTCCAGACCCGTCATTTACAGACCGCCGTCATATAGCTGGAATACTGCTGGAGTGCGGCGTTAAACAACAAAACAACCAAACATCACCTCCTTCGGACAACACAAATCATCTCAATCCAGTCCCAAAACATCACCCCTTTCGAACCACATTAATCATATCCTGCCAGTCCCAAAACATCATCCCCTTCGGACCACACTAATCATATCCATCCAGTCCCAAAACATCATCCCCTTCGGACCACATTAATCATCTCCTGCCAGTCCCATTGCTGGAATATTGCTAAAAGCGGCGTAAAACCATACTCACTCACTCACTCACTCCTGCCAGTCCCAAAACATCATCCCCTTTCGGACCACATTAATCATCTCCATCCAGTCCCAAAACATCACCCCTTTCGGACCACATTTATCATCTCCATCCAGTCCCAAAAGAACACCCCTTTCGGACCACATTAATCATCTCCTGCCAGTCTCAAAACATCACCCCTTTCGGACCACATTAATCATCTCCATCCAGTCCCAAAAGATCACCCCTTTCGGACCACATTAATCATCTCCATCCAGTCCCAAAGGATCACCCCTTTCGGACCACATTAATCATCTCCTGCCAGTCCCAAAAGATCGCCCCTTTCGGACCACATTAATCATCTCCATCCAGTCCCAAAACATCCTCCCCTTTCGGACCACACTAATCATCCCCTGCCAGTCTCAAAACATCATCCCCTTTCGGACCATATTAATCATCTCCTGCCAGTCCCAAAACATCACCCTTTCGGACCACATTAATCATCTCCATCCAGTCCCAAAAGATCCCCCCTTTCGGACCACATTAATCATCTCCTGCCAGTCCCAAAAGATCGCCCCTTTCGGACCACATTAATCATCTCCTGCCAGTCCCAAAACATCCTCCCCTTTCGGACCACATTAATCATCTCCTGCTCATCCCAAAATATCACCTTCTTCGGACAAAACTAATTATCTCCATCATATTCCAAAACATCACCCCTTCGGACCACATTAATCATCTCATTCCAGTCCCAAAACATCACCCCCTTCGGACAACACGAATCATCTCCATTACATTCCAAAACATCATCCCCTTCGGACCACGTTAATCCTCCCCATCCTACCACAGCCCACCATCCCCCAATCCCCCGCCTCCACCCCTTGCTTGTTTGTGTACTAGCAGCCTTGAACTATCCAATCACCTACGAAATCGCTGACGAAAATGTTTTTTCTCAAACTATACGTTCTATTTTCGGAGCGCGTGTTCCGATTAAAGAGTCTGAAGGTTTTCGCTGAAGGTAATCGTCAGCACACCTGGATCAACTTCCCCACTAAGATACTATACCGAGACGCACAAAAAACACACAACTAAACATATCTTTATGACCATGAGATAAAATTTAGCATCATTAAGTCAAGCGGCCACAATTCACCCGATTATACGTAAATGATGTAAGATGATATATGTTTTATTCTGCAATACTTGTTGCTTGGCTTTTGTTGGTGCACATGTCCCTGTAAACAAACGTGGAATAGAATGGTGACATCGTGGATGTGACAGCCGCCGAGAAAATAGAGGTTGATATATCAGTAGGGGAAGTGAAATGGAGTTTAATGTCGCGTTCAAGAGTATTACACACGCGCGTGCGTGCGTGCTTGCGTGCGTGTGGCTGCGTGTACTAGTCCAGACTAATATCGGTTTTATAGTGCTAGCCCATTTAGATACCATGCCGCAGTTGAACATGAATACCCCACTCAGACACAGTATACTGATTTCGAGCTTCCAGCCCTTGTATCCCCCTAATGCCGAGTGACAGGCAGCGTAACAATAAATACCATCTTTTAACGTAGTTTTGATATGACGCGACCTGGGATCGAATCACCGACCGTAGTTAGAAGATATTACCATGTCGAATACTGCCAGAACAGAGTTTGGGACACTGAGAGAGGAAGATAGGGAGGGTGTGAGAGAGATTGGGACACTGAGAGAGCAAGATGGGGAGGATATGAGAGAGTTTGAGAAACTGAGAGAGCAAGATGGGGAGGATATGAGAGAGTTTGAGAAACTGAGAGAGCAAGATGGGGAGGATATGAGAGAGTTTGAGAAACTGAGAGAGCAAGATGGGGAGGATATGAGAGAGTTTGGGACACTGAGAGAGCAAGATGGGGAGGATGTGAGAGACTTTGGGACACTGAGAGAGGAAGATAGGGAGGATGTGAGAGTGTTTGGGTCACTGAGAGAGCAAGATGGGGAGGATGTGAGAGAGTTTGGGACACTGAGAGAGGAAGATAGGGAGGATGTGAGAGTGTTTGGGTCACTGAGAGAGCAAGAGAGGGAGGGTATGAGAGTGTTTGGGTCACTGAGAGAGCAAGTTGGGGAGGATGTGAGAGAGTTTGGGACACTGAGAGAGCAAGATGGGGAGGATATGAGAGAGAACGGGACACTGAGAGAGCAAGATGGGGAGGATATGAGAGAGATTGGGACACTGAGAGAGCAAGATGGGGAGGATATGAGAGAGATTGGGACACTGAGAGAGCAAGATGGGGAGGGTGTGAGAGAGATTGGGACACTGAGAGAGCAAGATGGGGAGGGTGTGAGAGAGATTGGGACACTGAGAGAGCAAGATGGGGAGGGTGTGAGAGAGATTGGGACACTGAGAGAGCAAGATGGGGAGGGTGTGAGAGAGATTGGGACACTGAGAGAGCAAGATGGGGAGGGTGTGAGAGAGATTGGGACACTGAGAGAGCAAGATGGGGAGGGTGTGAGAGAGATTGGGACACTGAGAGAGCAAGATGGGGAGGGTGTGAGAGAGATTGGGACACTGAGAGAGCAAGATGGGGAGGGTGTGAGAGAGATTGGGACACTGAGAGAGCAAGATGGGGAGGGTGTGAGAGAGAATGGGAAACTGAGAGAGCAAGATGGGGAGGGTGTGAGAGAGAATGGGACACTGAGAGAGCAAGATGGGGAGGATATGAGAGAGATTGGGACACTGAGAGAGCAAGATGGGGAGGGTGTGAGAGAGATTGGGACACTGAGAGAGCAAGATGGGGAGGGTGTGAGAGAGATTGGGACACTGAGAGAGCAAGATGGGGAGGGTGTGAGAGAGATTGGGACACTGAGAGAGCAAGATGGGGAGGGTGTGAGAGAGATTGGGACACTGAGAGAGCAAGATGGGGAGGGTGTGAGAGAGATTGGGACACTGAGAGAGCAAGATGGGGAGGGTGTGAGAGAGATTGGGACACTGAGAGAGCAAGATGGGGAGGGTGTGAGAGAGATTGGGACACTGAGAGAGCAAGATGGGGAGGGTGTGAGAGAGATTGGGACACTGAGAGAGCAAGATGGGGAGGGTGTGAGAGAGAATGGGAAACTGGGAGAGCAAGATGGGGAGGGTGTGAGAGAGATTGGGACACTGAGAGAGCAAGATGGGGAGGGTGTGAGAGAGATTGGGACACTGAGAGAGCAAGATGGGGAGGGTGTGAGAGAGATTGGGACACTGAGAGAGCAAGATGGGGAGGGTGTGAGAGAGATTGGGACACTGAGAGAGCAAGATGGGGAGGATGTGAGAGAGATTGGGACACTGAGAGAGCAAGATGGGGAGGATATGAGAGAGATTGGGACACTGAGAGAGCAAGATGGGGAGGGTGTGAGAGAGATTGGGACACTGAGAGAGCAAGATGGGGAGGGTGTGAGAGAGATTGGGACACTGAGAGAGCAAGATGGGGAGGATATGAGAGAGATTGGGACACTGAGAGAGCAAGATGGGGAGGATGTGAGAGAATGGGTAACTGGGAGAGCAAGATGGGGAGGGTGTGAGAGAGATTGGGACACTGAGAGAGCAAGATGGGGAGGGTGTGAGAGAGATTGGGACACTGAGAGAGCAAGATGGGGAGGGTGTGAGAGAGATTGGGACACTGAGAGAGCAAGATGGGGAGGATATGAGAGAGATTGGGACACTGAGAGAGCAAGATGGGGAGGGTGTGAGAGAGATTGGGACACTGAGAGAGCAAGATGGGGAGGGTGTGAGAGAGAATGGGACACTGAGAGAGCAAGATGGGGAGGATATGAGAGAGATTGGGACACTGAGAGAGCAAGATGGGGAGGGTGTGAGAGAGATTGGGACACTGAGAGAGCAAGATGGGGAGGGTGTGAGAGAGAATGGGACACTGGGAGAGCAAGATGGGGAGGGTGTGAGAGAGATTGGGACACTGAGAGAGCAAGATGGGGAGGGTGTGAGAGAGATTGGGACACTGAGAGAGCAAGATGGGGAGGATGTGAGAGAGAATGGGACACTGAGAGAGCAAGATGGGGAGGGTGTGAGAGAGATTGGGACACTGGGAGAGCAAGATGGGGAGGATATGAGAGAGATTGGGACACTGAGAGAGCAAGATGGGGAGGATGTGAGAGAGATTGGGACACTGAGAGAGCAAGATGGGGAGGATGTGAGAGAGAATGGGACACTGAGAGAGCAAGATGGGGAGGGTGTGAGAGAGATTGGGACACTGAGAGAGCAAGATGGGGAGGATGTGAGAGAGATTGGGACACTGAGAGAGCAAGATGGGGAGGATGTGAGAGAGAATGGGACACTGAGAGAGCAAGATGGGGAGGATATGAGAGAGATTGGGACACTGAGAGAGCAAGATGGGGAGGATGTGAGAGAGAATGGGTAACTGGGAGAGCAAGATGGGGAGGATATGAGAGAGAATGGGTAACTGGGAGAGCAAGATGGGGAGGATATGAGAGAGATTGGGACACTGAGAGAGCAAGATGGGGAGGATGTGAGAGAGAATGGGTAACTGGGAGAGCAAGATGGGGAGGATGTTAGAGAGTTTGAGACACTGAGAGAGCAAGATGGGGAGGGTGTGAGAGAGTTTGAGAAACTGAGTGAGGAAGAAAGGGAGGGTGTGAGAGAGTTTGGGACACTGAGCGAGGAAGATAGGGAGGATATGGGAGAGACTGGGACACTGAGAGAGGAAGATAGGGAGGATATGAGAGAGTTTGGGACACTGAGAGAGCAAGATGGGAAGGGTGTGAGAGAGTTTGGGACACTGAGAGAGCAAGATGGGGAGGGTGTGAGAGAGTTTGGGACACTGAGAGAGCAAGATGGGGAGCATATGAGAGAGTTTGGGACACTGAGAGAGCAAGATGGGGAGGATATGAGAGAGATTGGGACACTGAGAGAGCAAGATAGGGAGGGTATGAGAGAGTTTGGGACACTGAGAGAGCAATATAGGGATGATATGAGATAGATTGGGACACTGAGAGAGCAAGATGGGGAGGATGTGAGAGAGATTGGGACACTGAGAGAGCAGAAGGGGGGGGGGGGGGGATGTGAGAGAGATTGGGACACTGAGAGAGCAAGATGGGGAGGATGTGAGAGAGATTGGGACGCTGAGAGAGAAAGATGGGGAGGATATGAGAGAGATTGGGACACTGAGAGAGCAAGATAGGGAGGATATGAGAGAGTTTGGGAAACTGAGAGAGCAAGATGGGGAGGATGTGAGAGAGATTGGGACACTGAGAGCGCAAGAAGGGAGGAAGTCAAGACGATCTGATAATAAATTTATATTGTTATAAAACGGGTCTTACTTCGCGATTGGCATCAAAACACGTGTGCACCTTGATTAAAAACATGAAATGATTTGGAAACCTTCTGTTGAAGTCAAGTTGGCAGTTCACATGCTCTGCAAGTCCTGCAAGCGACCGAAATCTTTATAGCAGTATACGAACCAGATGTCGATTTCGTGATTATATTGAGTGAGTTTGGTTTTACGCCGCTTTTAGCAATATCACGGAGGGGACACCAGAAAATGGGCTTCATGCATTGTACCCATGTCGGGAATCGAACCCGGGTCTTCGGCGTGACGAGCGAATGCTTTAACCACAAGGCTACCCGACCGTCCGTTACGTGATTACGTGACTCGTTAGTCCAGCCAAAATATAACTGCATAATGCCAGCCTACTTCGGCAAGAGTGGAAACTGGATATTTATAGTCAATATAATTAGATTTTCAATTGCACGGACAATATCTCGAGTCAATAACGTTAGGTTTTAAATTTTACAGACAATATCTCGATTCAATAACGTTAGGTTTAAAATTGTACATACAATATGTCGAGTCAAAAACGTTTGGCTTTAAATTGTACAGACTATATGTTAAGTCAATAACGTTAGATTTTAAATTGTACAGACAATGTTTCGAATAATTGAGATCAGATTTTGAATTGTACAGGAAATATCTCGAGTAAAAAACGTTAGGTTTTAAATTGTATGGACAATATGTCGAGTCAAAAACGTTAGGGTTTCAATTGTACAGACAATATCTCGTGTCAAAAACGTTAGGTTTTAAATTGTATAGACAATATCTCGTGTCAAAAACTTTAGGTTTTAAATTGGACAGACAATATGTTAAGTCAATAACGTTAGATCTTATATCGTACAGACAATGTTTCGAACCATTGAGGTCAGATTTTAAATTGTACAGAAAATATCTTGAGTCAATAACATTAGATTTTAAATTGTACAGACAATATCTCTAGTCAATAACGTTAGATTTTAAATTATACAGAAACTATCTTGAGATAATAACGTTAAGTCTCAAATTGTATAGACACTATCTCGAGTCAATAACGTTAGGTTTCAAATTGTACAGAGTCAATAACGACTTTTGGTTGTTTGTTGTGTTTGTTGTTTAACGCCGCACTCAGCAATATTCAAGCTATATGACGGCGATCTGTAAATAATCGAGTCCGGACCAGACAATCCAGTGATTGACATCATGAGCATCGATCCACGCAGTTGGGATACGATTTCGTGCATCGACTCAGTCCGCTAGCCTGACCCCCCGATCCCGTAAGTCGCCTCTTACGACAAGCATAGTCACCTTTTACGGCAAGCATGGGTTGCTGAAAACCTATTCTATACCGCACTTTCGCAGGTATCAATAACGTTAGGTTTTAAATTGTCGGGTCCGTTTCTGCAACATAGTCCCAGCTGTTACACGAGTCACTTTTCCCACAGCTTCATTGTGGCAAACATGTTGATCGTGTATTTCCATATATATAAGTCGACGGTAAATGCATAAATATTACGCTATTATATATAGATTATTTATGTTACTTTTAATGAAACATAAATATATGAAACTCCCAAACCACATCTGTTACAATACCGCGTCGGGGACTAGGTATGTTATCAATATCATTTAAACAAACCTATAGGATATATTTCACATCGCTCCCGAACCAACCACAGACGCTATCACTGTGGGGCAGCCTAGTGGTTAAAGCGTTGGCTCGTCACGAGGAGACGCGGGTTCGATTCCCGACATGAGTACAATGTGTGAAGCCCATTCCTGGTGTCCCCCGCCGTGATATTGCTGGAATATTGCTAAAAGCGGCGTAAAACAATACTCACTAACCACTGTCACGTAACAGCAAATTCTCGTGGTTTAGATTAAATGTTTACACAGGGAAACGAAGAAAGTTACCTAAAATATTGTCTTGTTCATATTCATTGTTTGATGAAATATGTCTTTATTTATTCATTTACGCACCATAGGTAAATATGATTTTGGGTGTACAAAATATTTATGAATATAACACGAGTTTTCACATTTCGTCGCGACTGTTGTAAACCTTTCATGCGTTGTAGTTCCAATTACCTGGCTCCCCACGTCAAGGGAAAACAGGGACGACAGGGTAGCCCAGTGGTTAAAACGTTCGCTCGTCACGCCAAAGGCCCGGGTTCGATTCCCCACATGGGTACAATGTGTGAAGCCCATTTCTGGTGCTCCCCGCCGTGATATTACTGGAATATTAAAACAATGCTGAAAAACTTGCTTGTCTTGAAGCAGTGGTAGAAAAACTATTCTCTCTCCAGATCTTAGCTCGGAACATTGATACAGTTATTAAAACGCTTCAAGGAATATTTTTTATACCGTCACATGACGATCTGTTCTTCTCATTTACCGTTACAAATATTTAAAGAACTGTTGTTGAGGTCGGCGTGACATCACGTGACACAGGCTGATAACACGCTGTAAGATGTTTATACTAGGAACCCTAGCCACGAACTCTGTGACCGAACGCGAGTACTTCAAACTCTGTGTTCAAGGTTATCACAACCAGTGAATGACCGCAGTGATTAATTGAGAACTATTTTCGCAAGTTTTAGCGTTTATAAATGCTTAAAATAATGGAAATATTTCCTTGTGAACAATATGAAGATAATATTAGGAGAGAGTATACGCATATTCAAATAATCGCACTAAACCCTTCTAAAGTTTGTTTGTTTGTTTAGCCCCGTAATATTCCAGCTATATGACGGTGGCCTGAAAATAATCGAGTCTGGACCAGACAATCCAGTTATTGACAACATGAGCACCGATCCACGCAATTGGGATGACATGCATCAACCAAGTCAGCGAGCCTGACCTCCCGATCCCGTTAGTTGCCTCTTACGACTAGCACTGTCGCCTCTTGCGGGAAGTATGGGTTGCTGAAGACCTATTCTACCCCGGATCTTCATGGGTGCCTTTCTAATGGCAACTGGTCAGTACTATACTAAAGTCTATTGATTTATGGAGATGCAGATGGGAAGAAAATCGCATGCTTGTCCCATGCTTGACGGTTAAAATGGGGATATGGACGTTGCACCTGTTTGGGCGTGCAGCGGATCAAGATGGGTTAGGTGTATGTGGAGTGGGAGTGGGAGTGGGAGCGTGTGGGGTGGGGGTGGGTGTGGGGGTGTGGGTGTGGCCTTTTTTCAGACACTTTACATGTTCACAGACCCCCGTCACTTGGGCATAATGTGCACACAACCCCCCACCCCACCCACCCCCACCCCCCACCCCACCCCACCCCACCCACCCTTTTTATGTGACTGGATCTGCCCCTGGTGTGTGTCATGGAATACGTGTGGGCAGTTGTTTAAAATATCAACGACTTGATTGCCTGTCTGGGTTTTCAACGATGTCGTATAGCATGGAATTCTGCTCACTGTGGCGTTGAAGAACATTCGGGCTCATTATTTGAAACGTGGTAGTCAATATCCTATCAATACTTTTAACAATCAAACGAAAGAAGAAGGATCTAAAACAGTCTCAAAGCACAAAGCTTATTCAACAAGAGCCATGTGCTTGATATGCTTTAGAGTAAGACGGGCTTCATGGGGTTACTAAAAAGAAGTACATTTTTTTTCAATTTCAAACAGAGATTCTAAAGTCTAAATTCATATTCTGCATTACAATGTTTCTATCTTCTTTACAGGGAAATCACCTGGTGCCAGGTCTGGCGAGTACGAAAGGTGAGGAAGCTCTTCGAACCAGCATTGTCGCACAGCACCCTTTGCAAGTCGAGATGTGTGAGAAGAGGCATTGTCATGAAGTAGTAGAACTGCAGCAGTCAGCATTCCTCGCCGCTTTTCTTTGATAGAATCTCTCAGGCGATGAAGCAAATCAGCATAGTAGGCACCGTTGACTTTCTGAGTAATCAACAAGGATCACACCCTTTACATCCCATAGTACAGTGGCCATAACGTTCTATCTGATCTTGAAGGCTTAGAACTTTTGACCAGTAATGGTATAGACGCATCACACACACACACGCACGCACACACATCACACACATCAAACAAACACACCTATGTCGGTGTGACAAGTCAGATGTTGGTTTCAAACTACCCCTAACTGCTTTAAAACATCCCCCGCTCATCGTTTTCTTGTTATCATTTCTATTTTGAATCACGTTCAGCAGTTTCGAAATGCAGCTGAAAAGCGCGTTCATAAATCATTTGACAATGTCTGAAACAGGACCTCACTTTTAACCCTGTCTTGACAGACAAACGTACATTTATTTTAACGTTGCAATGCCTCCCTTCAATTATCATCATATGTTTTCATACTCCTGATCAGGTCACGGGTCACAAGCAATTGAAGTCTTGGTATTGATACCCCTATGTTTATATGCGCAGTTACAATGGCGTTGGATGTTTCCTAGACAAATTGATTGCTTAATCAGTTGGGATACAAGACCCGAAAGTCTTTGTTAGCAAATTACCGCCGTAAGGTGCCGCTGTGATAAATGTCAGCACGTGCAGGATGTCGTCTGGTGACTGTGTCAGTGACTCATAGCTGGGTTATATAGTCTACAGTCTGTAGGGTCGAAAACTGAGTCTGACGATACTGTCTGAATCTCCTCTGATGCAGAAGCATTGCTCTATCAAGGAAGGCGGTGATACAAGGACAGACGATGCTCTATCAAACCCTGACTCATGTTATAGACACTACATGCTCTGTATCGTCTGGCTTGAACCAGTCATGTATATCTCGTCCTTGGAAACGCCACAGCGGCGTTCTATAACATCATGACTTTGTTGAGGTTGTTGGGTAAGGCCAGATTAAAAAACCGATTCACATCACCGACCGACACTAAAAATTAACCCGAGTTTTTGGCTCAATTCAGTTCCGGCTCAACAGTTTTTCGTTCGTGTGTGAAAAATTAACTCAAAAATATACTCTGTATGTCTATGTCATATCCTCATGTTTTATTTTTGAACATAGGACACACCCGTTAACATACCCTATATGCCTATATGTATCGCTGTTTTCATTAACAGTAAACGACGTTTATAACGAACACGCTCATAACGAACTGACCGATATAACGAACTTAGTTTGTAGTCCCGGCGATTTGTTGTATATATGCTGTTACATGCTTATAACGAACTACGGTTATTACGAACTTAAATTAGTGGTCCCTTTGAGTTCGTTATAACCGAAGTTTACTGTAGTATTTTTGTGAATGTGTGTTGGAGTGAGTCGGAAATCGAAAAAAACTAGTTTGACCCATATTTCCGAGACAAGAAATATACTTGGCCTTAGGTTGCTGAGTAACGTACAATAAAAGAATATATTTCTAGATTCCTGATAAAAAGAGTTCTTGTGCTCGTCATGTTCCGCGAACTGATATTCCCGTGTTTGCCATAAACAGGATTAAAAGAAGTGGTCTGGTTGTGTTTTAATGTTTCTGTTTAACAATTGCGTAGTGGGTTCGTTCATTTAAACAAGAAACGTGTTGATAGTTTTCACGATTTATGCTTCAAGTCCTAATTTATTCATTATTCGTTCTTCATACCGTCTATCAGTCAGTCTGGCAATTATTTAGTAAGTGGGGCAGGAGACTTATATTTGCCGCGAATCCGATCTACGTCGATATTGTTAATAAGAACATTTTGTGTTGGAAATTGACAAACTGCTGGAAGTAATACATTACTAGAGTCATAAAATCTTTTAAAACACTTTAAAACAATATTCCCGACACGCACCTCATTCAATATAGATAGTTCAATAGTCCCTAGACGTATGCCTCGAATGTCTCTCTTGCAGCCCGCGATCACTTAAGCATGCAATCTGTGTGTCATAGCACTGCATTATAGCTATAGATTAACCGACAGTCTCACCCGGACGCTCCCGCCAAGAGTTTAGTCCAACGCACGACACCCCGAACTTAATAAGTATGTACACTTGTTTGCCTTATCCTAGACGTGTTTACATGCCTGACAACCACATGGCCAAGGGACGATAAGCATAACATGAGACTTGCTCGGTCCCTAGGTTAACGAAAGCAAACCCAACACATAGGCTCAATCAGCTGTTTACCTATCGCGACAGGTGGATAAGAGCGTCCTGTCGCCATGGTAGCACGTGGCAAACCAAACAGGCCAGTACGCCATAACCGACTGAGGGTCGGGGAAGGGGGATAAGGGTACCTAGGAGGCCTTACCCGGAATTTGACAGTTAAAAATGGCGTCGGGAGTCACTGGGGGTAAACCCACGGGTAAAGCTCTGGCAAACTGCAACTACGTAGCTCAAGATCAAATCTGGTGAGTAAAATGTCGTCTGCCGGGGTCGCCTGTCCGCCATATTGTTTTAGTGATCAATTTCGGTGTCAAGTACAGCCTGACCAAGATAATAGTTATCTCCCTGCCGATTCTATACAATGCGGCACATTATATTTGATACCATTGATTATATTCCCTAGCAATAACAAACAATATAATTGTACACCAAAAAATACAACAAGAATAATTATCTGACTTATTACGATAGTAATTCGAACAAATCATCGTCTGTTGGTTGAACAATGTTAACAGTTCCCTATCTAGTGTAAATACAATCACGCATTGTTTAATAACAGATAATCGATATGATTTGTTAGTTAGCTTTAGTGTTCACTGATCCGTTGCTGCCCCCAACTGCGGGGAATTATGCGTTTAGTTGTGGTATACGTTCCGATGAACACTGACAGCGACCATTCTGTATTATTTTTCACTCTACAAAGAGGGAACGTGTGTTTTTGTAGGATATACGACCATGGTTAACATTCGTTAACAGATGCTTCCTTTCCGCCAGTTCCTTCATTCTGTTTTAAGTATCAGTTTTGTCTTTCACGTTTTAAACATCACAATCGTTAATCCATCAACCGTGTCTAATATTGTATTTCGTATGACATGGCTTACTGATGGTGCATAGTTTACGACCAAACACATTTGCGCTGTTTCACAATTAATCGGTAATTTTTAAAGAATAAACATTCGTGTTCTAGTTTATGGGTTTCATTTACGTATCAGTTTTCAGCCAATGCTTCCGTTGGCTATTTTATTATTGTATATATTCTGAGTATGAAAGAACAGCGTCTACCTGTAACAAATGTTATATTTGGGATAACACTTTCTTTGTAAAGTACAGATTCTCGTACATTTGGGGGTTGAGTCCCGTCCGGGATTCGAACCCACACCGCCAGAGTGAGGCACCTAATCGCCAGCACACAAAGTCAGCGATCTAACCCACTCAATCACCAGGCTTCCACAAAAATGAAAGTCCGACAACTAGTCGTCTAGATCACGTACTTTGTGTACCCCTATGACAAGTACCAATTTCTAAATGGCATTGTATGTTCATAGTGTCTACCTGCCTATAACGGATTAAGGACAGAGTGGATATCCCACGCTTGTATGAGCAAATTAAACCGCGGACCGGGGGCATAATGGCTACGTTAATACGGATATAACCCATTGAAGAACCGTGTGAGAATAGGTCTTCAACATCCAATGCTTGAGGTAAAAGGCGACTATGCTTGTAGTGAGAGGCGACCAACGGGAGCGCGTGGTCAGGCTCGCTGACTTGGTTAATACAGGTCATCGTTTACCAATTGCGTGGATCGATGCTAATGATGTTAATCACTGGATCGTCTTGTTCAGACTCGATTGTTTACAGACCGCCGTCATATAGTTGGAATATTGCTGAGTGTGGCGTTTAACAACAAACAAACAAACAAAAAATACGAAATTACATTATATTACTTCAGTTGCTGACTCTCCGTTATCAGCTTTGACCTTTTGAATTTAACTATGAAAATGTTTCAACCGCGTTTGTTTTATTTAACATTCAGAAGTTCCGGGTTCGATTCCTAAACATGTCGACTCTCTGCAGTAACATTGCTGGAATATTGATACTTACCCAACAATATATCAACACAAGTCGATTAAAGTTTTATACCTTTATCAACGCGTGTTGATATATGTGATGTCAAAAGACACGAGAGTGAGATTCTATTCATCATCCAAAATCACGCTTCCAACATTTTCAGTTTGTAAACACTCATAACCAGTGCCAAGAGTGTATAAATAGAGAATCTCACTCGAGTGACTTTTGATATCAAATATATCAACACGAGTTGATAAAAGTGGAAAAACTCCGAGGCTTGCCGAGAATTTTTTCCACTTTTATCCACTTTTATCAAGCGATATCTTCCGTTGAAGACAGTTTTGGATGATAATAAGATCAAATCGCTCCGAGGAATTATGGATTATGTCCCGAATGAATGAATGAATGAATGAATGAATGAATGAATGGTGTTAATCTAGAGCCTTTGGCAAAGGGACTTACAGCATTCCTTCAGATAATCGCGAAGAAAAACGTAGGACATGTCAGATAGGACAGATAATCATCAATGAAGGTCGCAATTGTTCTTATGACGCCATGTAATCAATTTCAGAAGTCAGAACAATGAAGCACTGTGACGTATTATGACTTCAACTGACCAATCAGCATTGAGAATTGCTAAAGTACACATACGATATATAACGGAAAGTTATAACAAACGATCATTCTACCCTTATGGGTAATACATGACGTTAAACAATACTCACTGTTGATATACTACATTTGCGTGTCGTCGCTATAGTGCCTTGAAGCGGCCTGAGTCACCAGCCTGTTGACCATAGAGACGACCGTTTAGACGGTTGGCCTCGTCAGTTTAGACAGTTGGCTCGTCAGTTTAGACGGGTGGTTAAAGTGTTGGCTCGTCCCAGAGGTGTTTTGGCCGTGTTTGGATTCCGGGTTGGAATTGACCCACAGTAACCTTTTCGTCGTAGAAGGGGACTTAATGGATCGGGTGTCCAGGATCAGTGACTTGGTTGATTGCGGCGTGGATCGTTGTTGACAACATCAGTCTCTGGAGTGTCTCTCCTAGACACGATTATTTACATTCTGCCGTCATATAGCTAGAATGTTGCTGAATGTGGCGTTAAAACAACAAACAAACAGCCGACCTGGTTAAGATTCCCCGCATCGGTGTACCGTGTTTAGCCAGTGTTGGCGTTGCTCGCAATGGGTGAAAAATACATGCTGAAAACAGCGTAAAAGCATTGGCTCAGGTGAGCGGGAAGACAGTTGATTGTCTTGTTAATACAGTGACTCGCGTGTGTCTCTTTCCCCAATATTTAGTTGGCTGCATACAATAATAACTACCCTATTACCAGTCCTAACAAAAGTGTTACAAGACATCTTTAAAACGACCCCGCCTCCGTGATCTAGTGGATAGAGCGGAAGAGCATGGGTTCGATCCCCGGTAAAAGATGGTACTTGTTGTTACTCTGCCTGTCGCTCGACACTAAGGGGCTAAATCAAGGCCTGGCCGGCTCGGGGTCAGTATAGTGTGTCTTAGTGGGGTACCCTTGTTAAACTGCGGCATGGTATCTCAGTTAGCTAACGCTATAAACTCGGCAATTGTACGGACAAGAACAGACACACACACACACACACACACACACACACACACACACACACACACACACATGGCATGCACGTCATTATATAAGGGCATTAATCTTGAACGCGACGTTAAACCCCATGTCACCTCACCTCACCTCTTTTTAAAGTATTGCGTCGGTTAAGGTGTCCACTCACTCACTCACTCACTCACTCACTCACTCACTCACTCACTCACATAGCTTTGAGCTTTGAGGGAACAAACTTCTGTTCTGAGAATGCTGCAACACGTTAACGCTCGTATTCCGGCTGCTCTGGGATGTTGGCTTTTATAGTTTATACAAATGACTTCCTGTTTTCCCAACGTTTACTTGTCACTACCTTGAACTACCTACAACTATTTTCAGGAATACAGTTATGTGAAACTCGTAATGCTATGTTGGTCTATTCATGCTGTATCCTGATATGGAAACAGGATATCACGTGCATTGACGTAAAATAACATGGAGTAAGGATTCGCTAACACATTCGCCCAACGTGGGGTCAGTCATGCTTTCACATGCCTATTTAAATTAGAAAATTGTTTCCTTATACTCATGGGCAGAAATAGAGGAAAGGTTCTTAAGAACAAGAAATCTCGTTTGTAGATTATTCGGCAATGTTATACATGCCTGTTTAAATTAGAAAATTGTTTCCTTATACTCATGGGCAGAAATAGAGGAAAGGTTCTTAAGAACAAGAAATCTCGTTTGTAGATTATTCGGCAATGTTATACATGCCTATTTAAATTAGAAAATTGTTTCCTTATACTCATGGGCAGAAATAGAGGAAAGGTTCTTAAGAACAAGAAATCTCGTTTGTAGATTATTCGGCAATGTAATACGTGCCTATTTAAATAAGAAAATTGTTTCATTATTCTCATGGACAGAAATAGAGGAACGGTTCTAAAGAGCACGAAATGTCGTTAGTAGATTATTCGGCAATGTTATACGTGCCTATTTAAATAAGAAAATTGTGCCCTTATACTCATGGGCAGAAATAGAGGAAAGGTTCTTAAGAACAAGAAATCTCGTTTGTAGATTATTCGGCAATGTTATACATGCCTGTTTAAATTAGAAAATTGTTTCCTTATACTCATGGGCAGAAATAGAGGAAAGGTTCTTAAGAACAAGAAATCTCGTTTGTAGATTATTCGGCAATGTTATACATGCCTATTTAAATAAGAAAATTGTTTCCTTATACTCATGGGCAGAAATAGAGGAAAGGTTCTTAAGAACAAGAAATCTCGTTTGTAGATTATTCGGCAATGTTATACATGCCTATTTAAATAAGAAAATTGTTTCCTTATACTCATGGGCAGAAATAGAGGAAAGGTTCTTAAGAACAAGAAATCTCGTTTGTAGATTATTCGGCAATGTTATACATGCCTATTTAAATAAGAAAATTGTTTCATTATACTCATGGACAGAAATAGAGGAACGGTTCTAAAGAGCAGGAAATCTCATTTGTAGATTATTCGGCAGTTTTATACTTGTTATGAGCATAAGGACACAATTTTCTTATTTACATGCCTATTTAAATAAGAAAATTGTGACCTTATACTCATGGACAGAAATAGAGGAACAGTTCTAAAGGGCACGAAATCTCGTTTGTAGATTATTCGGCAATGTTATACATGCCTATTTAAATAAGAAAATTGTGACCTTATACTCATGGACAGAAATAGAGGAACAGTTCTAAAGGGCACGAAATCTCGTTTGTAGATTATTCGGCAATGTTATACATGCCTATTTAAATAAGGAAATTGTGTCCTTATACTCATGGGCAGAAATAGATGAACGGTTCTAAAGAGCACGAAATCTCTTTTGTAGATTATTCGGCAATGTTATACATGCCTATTTAGATAAGAAAATTGAAATGAAACCCACGAGCACGGGTATGGTGCTGACAAACCTAGAAACATAATTGGGGCGAACCGGGATTCGAACCCCCAATCATAGGTCATTGGGGAAAGATTTAGAGAATAACCAACTAGCTACGAGGAACTACGTATGTCTCTCCCAAGTGAATTAATGGTGGTAATCCCGAGCATATGGCGTTTTCATACACGAGGGACAGGTACCCCGTAAATCTGAGTTTCGAGGGGGTTATTCTTCATATTACTCATTACCAGTTTAAGAGGGAAATTGAAGAAAAAAACGTATGAAATGTCAACCCTACAGAGAAAATACACTGAATGCAGCCTATTGTTCAGATGACGTAATGTAATCAATTTGTGGCGTCATGAACAATGGATGACGTCATATCGTATTTTCTCAACAATGAAACACTGTGACGTCATATGTCTTCAATAGACCACTCAGCATTGAGAATCGCTAAAATGTAAAATTTGCAAATATCGTAAAGTTGCTACATACGATCATTTTACTCGTAAGGATAATATAGATAGAATACTAAACGAGCTCCCGTGTAATATCAATTTTACGACACTAGTGAATAGTTCTGGTATCTGACTCGCTTTCGGTCGTCAGATACCGGAATTATTCACTCGTTTCATAAAATTGGTATTACACGGGAGCTCGTTTAGTATTTTATTCATAACTTGCCGTTTATAGCGTTTAGTTAAATTTCACTGTCGTGTGTGAATAGGCAGACATCTCCGCGATCCACAGCATGATCAAATTATTGAGTTTAAAGCTATATTACTTCAAACACATTAAAAGTTGACACGTATTAATTTAATACCATACAACGGCATACCTTTAAAAATCAGGGGTCCGTTCCACAAAGCTATCGTAGCGTAAAGTGATCGTAACTCACATACTTAAACATAGACTTACGACTGTTATTGCGCTGCGGCCGCTTTGTGGAACAGGATCCTGCACCACAAAGTTCACAAACACTTCATAATACCCTATAACGTGGACAGAGCATGTGCCCGGAGACCGCCTCCGTGGTGTAGTGGATAGAGCGTCTGCCCGGAGGCCGCCTCCGTGGTGTAGTGGAAAGAGCGTCTGCCCGGAGGCCGCCTCCATGGTGTAGTGGATAGAGCGTCTGGCCGGAGGCCGCCTCCATGGTGTAGTGGATAGAGCGTCTGCCCGGAGGCCGCCTCCATGGTGTAGTGGATAGAGCGTCTGCCCGGAGAGCGGAAGGTCGGGCGTTCGGTCCCTGGCCGCGTTATACAATAGACGTTCAATATGGTACTTATTGTTACCCTGTCTGGCGCTCAGGGGATAGAGAATGACTGGTCGGCTCTGAGTGGGGTGTTTATGCACAAAACCCAAAAGAAAGGAAATGTTCTCAACGTCTTGCGGGTAAATGCTTTTTTCCCCGGTTCTGAATTCAGACATTCCTAATTTAAAATCTGGAGTTGATTACAAACATTACTCTACGTAGTTGTAGGGGCGGTCGGGTAGCCTAGAGGTGAAAGTGTTCCCTCGTCACGCCGATGACTCGGATTCGATTCCCCACATGGGTATAATGTGTGAAGCCCATTTCTGCTGCACCCGGCCTTGATAATGTTGGAATATTGCTAAAAGTGGCGTAAAACAATACTCACTCACTAAATAGTTGGAATAAAACTGTGAGAGAACATACATATTTATGTTTAATTGTTTTTGGCTTTTTTCAGGAAGGGTCACATCACTCAGGAAGAGGCTGCCGCTAAGATCTGGCCGGCCAACTGGAATTTTCTAACCGGATCACATAGAGAAGTGAGTTTTTGGCAAAGGGGATATAAAGACATGTGAAGATCCGGGGTAGAATAGGTCTTCAGCAACCCATGCTTGCCGTAAAACGACTATGCTTGTCGTTAGAGGCGACTAATGGGATCGGATGGTCAGGCTCGCTGACTTGGTTGATGTATATCATCGTATTCCAATTGCGTGGATAGATGCTCATGATGTCAGTCACTGGATTGTCTGGTCCAGACACGATAATTTGCAGACCGCCGTCATCTATCTGGAATAGTGCTGAGTGCGGCGTTAAACAACAAACAACAACAACAAAGGGGATATAAAGTAGTAAATTCACACTCAAGGGGCGGCAGTGTAGCCAAGGGGTTAAAGCGTTGACTCGTCACGCGGACGAACCGGTTTCGATGCTGTGGGGTAGCTTAGTGGTTAAAGCGCCCCTTCGGCGTGCAGCAAACTTATCATCGTGGGTTCGAATCCCAGAAACGACCTGATTGTGGTTCTAGGTTTGCCAGCACCCATACCTGGTGGAGGGATGTCACCAAAGTTGTAAACGTCTGAGACAAGTTTCACTTCCAGCTTTCCTCCCACGTCAAGTTGACTCGCTGGGATATAACCGAAATACTGTTCAAATTACTCTTTGCGATTGATACATAAATATACGAATAAATATACAGTAAACTACGTTTATAACGAACACGCTTATAACGAACTTCCGGATATAACGAACTGTTTCTTGGTCCCGTCCATTCTGTGTGTATATGTTGTACATGCTTATAACGTTGTTGTTATGCTTATAACGAACTACGGTTATAACGAATTACAATTAGTGGTCCCTTTGAGTTCGTTATAACCGTAGTTGACTGTACCTGCATTAATAAACCTAAACCAACCAATTTACATATTAAAAATTCATTTTCGGATTCGAATTAATGCATTAGATGTGCGCGATTAATCACATTGACCTTGAAATATAAATATAGGTCAGTCAAGGAAAACAGTATTTCCATCAATACCGACTCATCACTTCCTCATTTCAGCTCGTCAAGGATGAATTCCCCCAAGCGAAAAAGGGGAAACGGGAAATCCCAACGCTTATTCAAATCAGGCCCGTAACACCAATTGAAGAGTACATCAAAGTTCAACCTTCACCTCGGCCATTTCCGTCAACTACCTCGCAGCAAATCGGATGGCGATCTACCCGCACGGAACACACATTAGAAAAATATGGGAAATACGCCAAACCCAAAGGTGGTTTGGTGAAACAACTAAATTGGCCTCAGGAGGCGGTGGACTAAGTGCTTCAAATGGCTAGAGATTTTATATAATTTGTATTGTCGCTATTGTATGATTGATTTTCATGTTGGGCGGCAGACAAGGTTGTCGTTTCTGCTTTATCCAATTCATGCGAGTTACCACAATCTTTTCAAGGCTGGCTTTCAATAGTCTTATGAATATATGTAAATAGTTTAAAACCCTCACGGTAAAATGGTTATGTCACCTTTCTCTCTCTGGAGGGTTACGTAACTACTGCGTCCCTCGCTCGTGTAACGTATTTATGAATTATGGAGGAGAAATTTTACAACATTGAAAACATCTGGACCATTGAACAAAACCCGAGCTATCCGCAGCCTGAACACGTGGGTATTACGACGGGGAATCTACGGGGCCCAGAAAGTAAGACTTTTTAAACGATACTGACTTGATTGAGTTTGAAATGATGGTGGGAATAGTGCTTGCAGCATTCGCTGGTCGTTGTTAATCCTGTGTCGGTGCGTTTACAATCACCAGCACAACCTAGGAGTGCTTTATAATTGAAATGTGCTTTATCTAACAATCGTAAATAAATCGTAAAAATATAAATATTTCAAAATAAATTAAAATATTAAATATCAAACAGTAAAACAAATAATTTATTTTACAAGTACAAGTTCTGCAGTTCTATATACTTCAGGTCAGGTTTTCAGCAACCCATGCTTGCCGTAAAAGGCGACTATGCTTGTCGTAAGAGGCGACTAACGGGATCGGGTGGTCAGGCTCGCTGACTTGGTTGATTCATGTCATCGTGTCCCAATTGCGTGGATCGATGCTCATGGTGTCAATCACTGGATTGTCTGGTCCAGACTTGATAATTTACAGATCGCCGTCATATAGCTGGAATATTGCTGAGTTCGGCGTTAAAAAAACAACCTATTTCCATGTTCGTTTACAATCTTAGAAAAATATCCAAATAAACTCTTGTATTACATACGTGTAACCTAATACATGTAACATTTTTTAAGGAAAAGTATGCAGAATTTGAAACATTTCCAAATAATGACTTTAATTAGTCATACGTCTTGATAGTGCCTGTGTTGGAATGTGGAGTACATCATTATGAACAACTAGCCATGTTGTATGCTAGCTCGAATCCATTGCTGGGAAATGTTTCATTGTAAGTTTACATTTCATAGACTTGCTGGTGTTTGTGGTAATAGTTCCTTGTGGAATAACCTCCGAACTTATCGACCCCTCGAAGACTTTTCTGAAACGAATCATATAATAGTCTTCAAAGACTTCAAGTTGCATTGATTCCATTCAGTGTGGATCTTAATTGAGCTATCAAACTTCAATCTAAATTCTTTTGATATAAAAAGTGTAGCTTTGATATTGAATTGAAACGATAATTCTGCTATCAAGCTATGTTCTTTGAAATTTAGATAACATTTAACGCTTGAGCGTGAATCATATTTGCTGGTGTGCTGGTTCGTGTATTATTCTCTTAAGTAGTGGGTTTTTTTAAATAAAATATAAAGTGACTTGTTAAAGTGCAAATTACACCATGAGCTGGGACAGAGAGAGATCGATCCCATTAAGAGTCTTTACATTCATTTTACGCTTATTCATTGTTGTAATGTAAAGAAAAAGAAAACAATATATATTTTTTTATTTATTAATTCAGTGCGGGTATTGATATGCAAAACGTCAAAAGTTATTGCTGTGCCTTGTTGATCAAAAGTTGCAATTTATTAAAATGAATTAGAATTTGAAATTAATTGAATATCCCCATGGGATAGTATTCACTTTCAATTAAAATCAATCCGCCTTTCAAACCATCGATCCACAGACAGATTCTAGAATGTATGGTAGTAAACAAATTGTATGTGGTTATTCAAATGAATTTGGGTAATAATTTATTTAATTGATGGAGACAGCGGCTTCGAATAATGCATTGTCACCAGCGACAGCGCGACGACGGCTTATACAGGCGACTTGTCTCACCTCGCTCAGAGTGCTAAACAGGGAAGGTTATTATCAGCGTGATTTGTAAAGCAACGGTATTCACAGATTGTAATTTTCTAGCGATTTTCACACCTCATGTTTACATTAACAATAAACAGTCCTTTGTCTGGCGCCTATTGTTACATAATAATGACTAGCTGATCGGCTTCTATTCCGCACTTGATGCAAGGGAGATTAATATTAAGTCATCCACAGCCATTATTACGATTTAACAATACACCCGACTAAACCTAGAGATCCCTACAATCAACCATGCGCGAAAACCTTTAGATTGGGATGGTGTTGGTGAATAAATGTTTTTGAAAAGATCTTTTTTTTCTGCTTCAAAGCTGTCATACATCAATAAAGAAGGCATAATAACTACAACGGGCTTATGTTTCAGTTTGTTATGATACAGTATCAGATATAAAATCACGTTATTGATTTGAAAATAATATTCAAATATCTATATGATAAAGATCGTGTTTGACAATCACAAAAATACAATATGGGAACCGCCGTAGATGATGTTTTGAGGGTGTTGGTATGCCGTTACTGTAAAGGCATCGACGCTAGTTACATTCTAGGACGCGTACGCATTCGATGGTTTGAAAGGCTTTAAGTGCAGTTGATCAAAATAATCTTGGGTATTGTTGCGAAAAGGGCAATCTCATTGTTGTTCAAGTGAAACTAATCTAGGTTTTAGCACTACAACAATTTGTAACCGAATCTATTGTCGTGTTCTAAATATAGACCTTAGTCACCATGTCTGCTGATCAATATGTAGAACCATTTCTTGTGAAATTACATATACACCACCTGATATATTACATGCTATGTTGCGTGTAGTGCCTATTCCTAAATTTGGTCTGGCTTCCCATGATGTCATTGGAACAGGCACAAATCGTTTTGCCGTTAAGCCGCCATATAAACGTCGCATAACCTTTGTCGGTGGCTCTTGACCCATGAACTAGGCTCTGAAATGATTGTGCGACCTCAATTGATGTTGATATCCTCCTTATTTGGAATCTACAAAACCATAATTGAAGTCGAATCTAACTCGCGTGCGGGTCCATGCAGTAACTAATCACGTGATATAATTGACGTTTGAAAATGCTCTATGAAACCGAATCTCATTACTTCAGTCCACACTGCGAAAAGATATTCGCCGACAACATTCGAATCACTGGCCATGTCCAATTTGATTATTTTGCAACCACGGAGAAGATAGTTATTTCTCGTCGATCGTATCTCCGTCTGGAAACAACATGCAAGTTTTGTTGCGATCAGCGGTCAGGAAAATGCGATTTTTTCATAACGTGAGAGTATGATGCCGCGTGTCTGATATGAAAGACTTCTAGTTGAAAGAACTCTTTAATCTTGATTCATAAGGGGATTTTTGCATTTAATGAGAAGTATTATTTTTGATTATTCTTCATAAATGTCAAAAGAAAGAGGATTGACGTAATGCAATCCGCTCGTTGGCGCTACGACGGGCTGTTGTATTAGGTGAAATGTACAATGGCGTTCACGAGACAGTTGGTAGTTGCAATGCTGAATCACCATCGATAGAAACATCAAAACACTGCATTAAAGATTACGATCTGAAAATGTCGCCAAAGACTGAAAAACGTGTATATAAAATATACATAATTACTACTTAGGATGTTACTATACACATCACTGTTCGTCAATTTGTATTAACGGTTTCATAAATATATTAACTGCACGCGTATATGTATATTCCATATTATTATTATTATTATTATTATTATTATTATACGGTATCAACTAACACAAACAGCTCCGAGGTTTTCACAATCTCATACAAAATCAGAAACAAAAGCGACAAAATAATAATGTAGTCAGATGTGAAATACAGCCTGAAAGTATAAATAAATAAATAAATAAATAAATAAATAAATAAATAAATAAATAAATAAATAAATATGCGGCACGGAAAGAACATTCCTTATATATGGAACAATCCCGTCCATTCGTATTGCACGTGCATTTTGTGCGATTTGTTCGTTGTGGCCAGTACATTTGTAATGCACGTGCTTACATTTATGCATGAGCTTAAAACTTGCATTGCAGAAAGTAAGTTAATCTACATTTGAAACAATAGAATGACGTCATAGCTGTATTTTAAACTCTGATATAATACTCTCTTCAGGCAGATCTATGCCACCGAAATGAAATTCGCACTCATTTGCAACGTATGCAAGACGATGTCGACACTCATATACACCTGAAGCATTAGACAGTCTGCATTACCGGAGTTTCAAACTGCGTGTAAACAATGATTTTAAATAGTTTTAGTGTCATGTTTACAACTTGATGCACGAAATGGCTGTTGTAGAACAGACAAAAACATATTTACTGCAGGTACAGCTCAATTTTGTGACTATAAAAGCCACTCGGATTAACAAGTTTATGTCCAATAACTCTTGAATGATGATAAATTGAAATCTATATTCAAGCTTTCATTACATACAACGTGTTCTGTTCTCCTTATTATCTTTTTTTAAAAATCCTTTAAACTCACATATAGATTTTATGGCATTAGTATTACATCTTTTGCAAACCATAAGAACTTTGGAAACACTGCTTCCATTGTATGTTTTAACATCCGATAGCTCCCCTACTCATAGATGTGCGACACAGTTCAACATGGCAGACGGGGACACGGGTGGCCCAGTCGTCTAAGGCGCCACGATTCGCTGTGCAGAGTTGCGTCCCTTGGGCACGCCAGAAACCTATGATTGTGGGTGCGAATCCCGGTTCGCCCCGATTATGTTTCTAGGTTTGTCAGCACCATACCCGTGCTCGTGGTTTTCACCGAAGTGGTAAACGTCTGGGACCTGCATCACTTCGGGCTTTCCTCCCACATTAAGCTGACACGCCGCGATATAACTGTAATGCAGTTAAAAGCGGCGTTAAACCCAACTCACTCACACACTCAACATGACAGACACTCATCATATTCTCAACTGTCCAGATTTACACAGGTGCCCAACAAGATTCCGAAATAATACGTGTATAAAACTTAATAGACATAAACTAATTAAGCGGAAAAAAAGTTTGTATTTCTATACAAGATGAAATATTTTAAGGGTTGCTTAAAGAGGAACTAAATTCTCACCAGCATGCTACCCATTTTCGGCTTGGGCGGAACTGGTTCCGCGTATGAATCTAAAACATTGCCTTTTTTTTATTAGGGCATTTGTTAAATGTTCATGTCGTTTGATTGACATGTGGCGATAGGTTAATTGGCCTGACCATCATCCACTTTAAAAATCACGTGACCAGCCTTATAGTTCTAAGTCTGTAGTAACCGTAAGACCACTTTGTGAAACCGGACCCAATGCAGTCATTTGCTATCGCCACTGTTTATATATACTACAGGTTGTTAAAGAATATTACAAAGAGGGAACTATGTTTTGCGGGGAGTTAGATTGTCACCGAAACGCGTGGGTTTCTTTGTTGCTGTGGTAACGATACTTACTTTGGGTTAGTATGCACACACTAGTATGTAAACGGTCTTGTCAACTGTGTTGTTTGTTTAGTATGTGTTACCAAGGGTACCAGCCAGTATTACGTCACCTGCCTTTGTTGTCTGTATTGTTGACAATCACTACCTCTGTCAGATAAAGCTTTCTTGAAAAATAACGTACTTGTGTTGTCTTTATTCTATCATCACCTTTTTATGTATAGATCACAATAAGTCCAGATCAATAGATGACCAGTTCTTCGTGCGAACCAGTTTACATTTTGCAAAATTAAAACAAAATAATTTAAGAAGTAAATTTTATTTTTTTTGAAATATTGCTTTTACACCCTTTTTGTCTTTTTTTGTGTGTTGAAGCCAATATTTATGGTTTGATTTTATGTGACTTTCTTTTTATTGTTTTCACTATGTCTACTGCCTCTTGTCATATCTACAATATCCCGTGGGGATGCGGGGTTAGAATTGGTCCCCAGCAACCTACCTATGCTTTAATGTATTGACTAGTGGATAGCATCTGCCCGGAGACGTTCAAAGGTGGTGTTTGTTGTCACCCTACCTGTCGCTCGGCATTGAGGGGCTAAAACAAGGACTGGTCGGCTCGGAGTCAGTATACTGTGTCTCAGTGGGTATTCATGTGAAACTGCGGCATGGTATTTCAGTGGGCTAGCGCTTTAAAATCGGCATTAGACCGGGCTAGCACACACACACACACACACACACGCACGCACGCACGCACGTACGCACGCACGCACGCACACACACACACACACACACACAAATAGTCAGATTCGGTGAATTGGTTGATTGTATGTCATCGTACCCTGACTGTGTTGATCATTGCTCTTAATATCAATCGGGGGCACGGGTGGCCCAGTCGTCTAAGGCGCCGCGATTCGCTGTGCAGAGTTGCATCCCTTGGGCACGCCAGAAACCTATGATTGTGGGTTCGAATCCCGGTTCACCCCGATTATGTTTCTAGGTTTGTCAGCACCATACCCGTGCTCGTGGGTTTCACCGAAGTGGTAAACGTCTGAGACCTGCATTACTTCTGGCTTTCCTCCCACATTAAGCTGACACGCCGCGATATAACTGGAATATTGTTAGAGGCGGCGTTGTCACTGGCTTGTCTGATCCTGGCTCGATTATGGCTATGAACATTGCGGCGTGAAACAAACCTATTGACCAAGAACGTTGCTGTACCTAGTATGTTGCGCATGTTGTCCAGCAATAGCCCACCTGGATCACGGCGGTCTGTAAATAGTCGAGTCTGGACCAGACAATCAAGTGAATAAAAACCCGAGAAACGATCCGCGCCATCGGGTGACCGCTGACCGTGAAATCAGTGAGGCTCACCGTACCATACTCATTTCATTCACCTCTTGCCATAGCCATGGGGTAGTGGGGACCTCGGACGCGGAATGTCCCCACAGGGGAATAGCTCCAGAATACTATTTGATACACACCATTCGTCATGATGTTTGTTGGTTTGTTGTTTAACGCCGAACTCAGCCATGTTCCAGCTATATGACGGTGGTCTGTAAATAATCGAATCTGGACCAGACAATCCAGTGATTGACATCATGAGCATCGATCCTAGAAATTGGGATACGATGACATACATCAACCAAGTCAGCAAGCCTGACCACCCGATCCCGTTAGTCGCCCCTTATGACAAAGCACAGTCGCCTTTTACGGCAAGCATGGGTTGCTGAAGACCTATTCTATCCCGGATCTTCACGGGTATTCCATAGTGCATATACTGATTTTGTTGAAACTAATAAAAACGATATGATGATCATTAATAACGCCTGCTGCTTACATGTAAAAACGTTTAAGAAATATATGCTCCATATTTAATAATTTATACAAAACCCTATACTTACTCTCACACATCTCAATAGACTTCACCCACTGTACCAAGATGTATGGACATACTATGGAATCCTGGAAGGGACATTGTCGCGTTGCCGCATTGCCAAATAAACAAACACCGTCCGCTCAACTCATAAAAGGCATAAAAGTTGACAACTGTTGACAATTTGTTTGGTGTTAGCAAAAGAACAGATATTAATCAGATCATCCTCTCACGTTAACAGAAACGCTTACATTGCAACATATACACACAGTGCAAATTTACATTTACATTTGCACCTGCTCAAGACATGATGCAAATTTGCTCCTGGTGTAAATATACACACATGAGTAAACGCGTTCACATGACAAGCAAACTCACGTATGTATTTCTACACACGTATGCACATATACACACATACATGCATACTCGTAACAGAGGCGGAAACAGCTTTTTTTAAAACGGGGGTGGGGGGGTTGGGGGGTGGGGTGCACAACTAAGATCTATTTATTGTCTTTGGTGGTAATTTATACACCAAATAAAATAAAAAGGGGGGGGGGGGGGGGGGGGGGTGTGCGCGGGGTATTAGACTGGGCACTGGTCAGCAGAGGCGCCTTTAAATCGCAAGCCTACCCGGTCGCAGCCTGGTTCCATGGGTAGGCTGTGTTTGCGCTACGCGTCAAATGGAATCGGTTTCGTCCGACAATTGAGACTCATTATTCTCTGTCGTTGCCGTTTTCGTAACGCCATGTTTATTAGTATAAGGTCACCAGAACGGTTGCCGTTCACTGCCTGCCTGGGTACCTCTTAACTAGAGTATTATGATCCCCGCTGATGATGTTGCCTAGGAGGTGAGGCAGCACACTTTTAGTCATCATTGTAGCGTTTCGCTGAACCCTGTGTTGTCTGCCATTGATTAGGATGATTCAATAAAACAGGGACGATATGTTCCACGCTCTGTGGACCATTTCTAGTCTAGACGTTCTAATTGCTGCTTTGTGAGAGAC